AGACCATGGTCTACATAATGAGTTCCAAGACAGCTACGGCTATGTAGAGACCTCATCTCAAAAAGAAAGAAAAAAACCCCTAGGAGTCGTGGCATGCTCTTAATAACAGAAGACCATTAGAAGGTGAAGTCAGGAGGACCAGAATTGATATTGAAGCTACGCCTGAGTTAGGGAGACTCTATTTAAAAACAAACTTTTGTTTTTTGTTTTGTTTTGTTTTTTGTTTTCCAAGACAGCATTTCTCCCAGTGGTGTTAGTGTCTTGGAATTTGCTCTGTGAACCTGGCTGGCCTTGAACTCCTCCTGCCTCCCTCTCAAATACCTGGATCAGAGGTTTGGCAGTACCTTCTGGCTCAGAGAAACAATTCTTAGTTTGTATATTTTTAGTACACATTGCCGGTTAAGTTTCCTTAAGAGTTCCACCAGTTTATATTCCTCCAGAAATGTGCCCGTAGAGCCAGGTTTGGTGCGTGGCCCACATCAGAGACCGGTCAACCTGCTACCTAGGAAGTTTTAGGCTACTTGGGCTACATGTAACTCTTTTTTGTCTCAGGACAAAAAGGGAAGAGAAGGGAAGGAGAAAGAAAAAAGTAGGAAGGTAAAAGAAAGAGAGCTGTTATGTGAACTGTTTATTACCTTTTCAACATAAAATAAGTCATTTCCATCTTTAGTGGTATTGTGAATGCTAAGAAATGATAACTAAGATGTAGCCATCTTAGTTATCATTTCTTAGTTTAGTATGTACAGTCAGAGTTTATTTAACTTACTATTTTTGTTTTGACATATGGTTTGGCTATACAGTTCAGGTTATCCCTATACTCCAGGGTATTTAGGTCATACAGGTGCTACATCATGATGTAGATAGATTTTTTGGGGGGCCACCAGCTCAAAAATGACAGACTTATTATGAAAATTATGAAAGCTCCGCTTTAACTTAAGCTTGTCCGACTGACATGTTTTGATATTTCTCTCCAGTGTTGTCCCAGTGAAACGTACTGTTTTGTCTTATTGGACAGAAACTAATAACAATACTTAGACACGTAGTCAAAAAATAATAGGAGCTGGGAGTCTGGGGTGATGAAGAGATGGCTCATTAGTAAGAACACTTGGTACATATCCAGAGGACCCAGGTTTTTTTTTTTTTTTAATAGAGGAAAGAGTTTCTTGTGGGCTGATAGTCTGAGAGGGTGACTCTGATCATCATGACAATCGATCGGCAGGCAAGCATGGCACTAGAGCTTACATTCTGGTCCACAGGCAGGAGGCAGACAATTGCCATTTTTAAATTTTGTTTTTTATTTTTATTTTTTATTTATTTATTTTTTTTTGAGACAGGGTTTCTCTGTGGCTTTGGAGCCTGTCCTGGCACTAGCTCTTGTAGACCAGGCTGGTCTCAAACTCACAGAGATCCGCCTGCCTCTGCCTCCCGAGTGCTGGGATTAAAGGCTTGCGCCACCATCGCCCGGCTGACCACAGATTTCTTATGTCTTGGGAAAAGAATATCAATATATGCAAAAGTAGAGAGGCAAAGTCGGGGAAAAACGGAAGGTTACATGGTTGCCTGGAGCATAGGAGCCCTGTTTCTTTATCAGAAAGGGATTCCAATCCCACCACCACCCGGCTAAATTTTGTTTTTTAGTTATGCCTTCATTGTATGCATTTTGACTGTTCTTTTTACTGTAGCATTTGCATACCTCCCTTCTTGATACTTGGTCATTTTATAAGATGAGATTTTAAAAGATACTTAATATCAAACTTTGGCACTACAAACAAAAAAGATTAAATTTGTTGAATGACTATGTAAGGATTGGGTTTTATGAATAGTCTGACGATGTAGCAGTTTTTAAAACATTGGTGGAGTGAACTCATGTATCTCTTGACTTTTGCAAAAACACAGACTTGGAAAAACTAGGTAGCTACTAAGCCAGGAGTGTAATTATATATGTGCTGGGTTACTTGGTTCTTTTGTTTTTGCTCTTGTTTTTTAATGTATAAGGGTATTTTGCATGCTTGTATGTCTGTGCACTAGCCACTTGAGTGTCTGTCTGCTCCCCTTGGAGGCCAGAAGAGGGCATTGGGATTGGGGTTACAGATGGTTATGAGCCTCTTGGATGCTGGAAATCAAACACAGGTCTTTAACAGAAGCAGCTAGTGTTCTAACCTGCTGAGCCATCTCTCTCCATTGATACTTTAAAAAAATATCTTTTTATTTTGAAATTAGTATCTGTAATAATTCTATCTGGCCTGGAACAAACGTTTAACTGTCTTCCTGTACCTGCTTCTTGGGTACTGAGATTACAGACACATGCCACTGTGTCCACTTTAAACAGACAATTCAACTTCGGATCATCTTAATTTGACATAGTATCTTATGAATTCTCTTTGAGCCATTTGAGTTTTTTATTACATAGTTGAGATATTTAGTCCTCACATCATTTATGCCTCAAAAAATCATTGACATCATGTATGTTTGGTATTACTGTAGTATTTATAGAACAGTATTTCCCAAATATGTTGGCTATCATCTTTTAGCCTACCACTTAGAAGGGTAGAGGCATGGAAGATTGTGAGTTTGAGGCTAGCCTGTGCTACAAGGTAAGACCTGGTTTCAAACATTCAAAAAAAGTTTGACCAACAATTTTCTACTGTCATTTGTTATACAATTTGTGCCATGGAAAGAAAGTATTTGGCAGCAGAAACAAAACAAAAAACAACAAAGCAAGGTAACAAGGTATAGCAGGGCTGCAGATACATGACGCTAGAACCTGAAGTTTGGCCTGTAAGTGGCTGTGAAACAGAATATTGACCGCAAAGACTACCAGAAGCATAGAATGACATGAGTAAAGGCATGAAGACTCAGGGATTATTCCTCTCTCATCAATTTAAATGCCATGTCGGGAGCCATGGTGGTACTGGTGGAATGTCCGTCAAATATATGTGCTTTCATGTCTGAGTAGATTTAATGAAGCTGGTTTTGGTTTTGAGAAGTATAGCATTAAAACAGGGCCCAAGCATGTTCTGTTGGTGCTTTCCTGCTATTATGTTGTCAGGTTCAGGTATATGTTAGTAAGTAAAGATGAGACAAGAATAGAATGGAAGACAGGAGATAGAGCCTGAATGACTTTTAGTTATGTGCTCAGGGAAGAAGTACTTAATCACATGATAGGCAACCAAGTAGATTTTTAAAAGTTTACATGTCTTGTAATACATTGGCTAATAAACAAGTTTCCAAAAATTAGCTACCTGGATGTACTCTGTCATTTTTTGTAGTGCTAGACGTTGAATCTTGTGACTTGTGCCTGTTAAACAAGGACTCTTAACAGTGAGGCACACTCCTAGCCTCTCAGTTATTTTTTTTAACTCTACTTTGTCTATTGTAAGACTTCTAGTAAGAGTGGAGTCAGCAGGTGCTTTGTGGTGAGTTTTTATGTTACAACAGTCAATTTTTATCTCTAGATAACATTTTTGGAACAGTTACTGTGGAGTTGGTATTGTACAAAATATCTTTTACTTTCACTTTTTTTATAAATATTTATTTATTATGCATACAATATTCTGTCTGCTTGTATGCCTGCAGGCCAGAAGAGGGAACCAGACCTCATTACAGATGGTTGTGAGCCACCATGTGGTTGCTGGGAATTGAACTCAGGACCTTTGGAAGAGCAGGCAATGCTCTTAACCACTGAGCCATCTCTCCAGCCCCCTTACTTTCACTTTTGTATTAGGCGTTACTAGATATTATTTGTATTTCTGCTTATGTTCATGGATTGGCTACAAATGGTTTGCTAAGAGCTGATACATGATTTAAGAACATGTTGATTCTCCTTGAAATCTTACAGGAAAGAAAACTTGTAAGACCCATCTTAAAGAATTAAAAGATGTTTATTTTGAAATGGGGTTTTCCTGTGTAGTCCTAGCTAGCTTGAAATTGCTGTCTTTCTATGTAGACCTCAAAGCTGTCCTCATCTACCTGCCTGTGCTATGATTAAAGATAGAATCACCACACCTGGCTTTTAGTGCGTTCTGGACGTTAGCATGAGTCAAGATGGCCAGTAAGTGTTGGCAGAGGTTTCTGTCCCACCAGGTCCCACAGCCATTTAGTCCCAAATAAATCCCACCTTGTTTCTGCTAGATTTCTGCCTTCCCCTTTTCTTCTTATTTGGCACTACAAGGAATATATTATCTGAATTTGAGAAGAGGGCTAGAAGTCAAAATACTTTCCTCATTGCCCAGCCTGGAATGACAGAGGAGGGCTGTGTTAACCTTAGCCTAAGTCAGTTGTTTCTGTGTCTTTCTGGGACAGACAATAACCAGGGAGGTAACAGGCATAGTGGCACTTTCCGGCAAGTTTAACATTCCACTGGCTGAGACCGGGAGTGATCACAAGTTCAAGGTCAGACCCTGTCTCAAAATAAACAACAAAAAATGTAAACATAACAAACAAGAAGAAATATGTTCCAATAGAAGCTGTTGCTAATCCAATACTTAGAGATACTTGTCATTTTTGCATTGTTTTCCCTCTAAACAGTACCCTTAACATTTTCACTGCCCATCTGTGATTACATTATTTATTGGGAGATGGCAAGAGACCAAGATTGTATCTAAGGCTGGCCTGGAACTTAGAATAGTCCTCCTGGTTCAGTCTACCCAGTGCTGAGATTATATCATGAGTCATCACACCTATCTGTACTTGTGTTATGTGTATTGTTCTGTTACAGCATTATTAGCCTTACTAAACACTATCCCATGTTTTCTTACAGTATCTCACTAGAAAATGAATAACCACAGGTTTATTAATTATAATAGTAAAGTATCTTTTATATACTTTAAACAAGTTGTTTCATTTTGCAGAGAGGGATTGAGAACAGAGTGTGTATGCCTAGATGTTTTGGAATCACTAAGTAGACCAGATTGACATTGAATTTTAAGAGAATTTGCTTAGATTAAAGGCAAGTACCCCCTTGCCTGTCCACGGTTTTCTTAACATGGTCTTTATTGTACTGCATGGGTATCTGTGCTCATGATGCAATAGAAATTCAATATCTGGCTTTGTAGGCTTCTTGGCTTTGTATATTTTCTTGGTTTTGTGTTTGCTAAACCTGATAATTCTATTGATGCAGTTTTAAAGGAAAAGGTGGGTTTTCTAGTATTATTACTGAATTAAGTAAGATCTGAATTTATAAAATCTTTCTTACCCTCACAGATACCAATTCCTTTCTAGAAAGGTTATAATTATTCATATTAAATTGATATCTTCATTATGAATGTTGTAAAAATTACTAAAAATGGTTTGCTTTTTATGTTTTTTGTGGAAATTTTAAAATATACAAAGTTAGAATATTTAGTGAGCCTTCTATGTCCTTCTCCCTTGTTTGTATACCATTCAATATTAAATTTATCTACCTTTCATGAACGAAATTCATTTCTTCTAACCTTGTTTGCTTTTTTTAATCAATTGTTTTCATTAAACTAATAGTTAAAATCAAATATCATCTTACACATTGGTTTTTTGAAGCTTATTTTGTCCTAACTACAATGCCAGCCATTATCAATCAAACAAAAGTGGGTTTATAAATACTATTAATTATATGTGTTTCAGGTAGGCATGCTGGTAACTGTGGAGGTCAGAGGCAGATGATTCCTTGAGTTAGGGGCCACTACCCAATGTGGTGCTGGGAACTGAGCTCAGGTCTCCTGGAAGAGCATTAGTAGGAGAACAAAATTTTAAATATTCTTTTGGAAAATGGAGGTTTGTGCTGGAAATCAAACTATGCATGCACACTGGGCATGCATTTCATAGTTTCAAACTTCCAGCTTGAAAATTTTTAATTTAATTTCTAGCTCAGGATTAAATTTCTGTATTTATCTAAAATTTGGCTTTTATTAGTTGCTTTGGTTATTTCACCCCTCCTCCCCCAGCAGGTCTATACATGCATTATTTTTCAATTTATTTTAACTTATTATAAGCTTCCCTTTTTCAGGAAATAACTTATTGAAGAAAGTAAGTTGATGTCCTAGGGAATGATTATCATTCTATGTTCAGTTGATTGTTTTCTTACAAGCCTATTTTCTATTTTGCATTTACTGTATTGCTCATAGGTATGGAATCTTTATTTTGTGGAGTAAGCCAGAAACTATCGATAACTTTATCCAGTTAAATCATGTGAAATGTTTATGTTAGCATGTTATGCTTAGAGTGAGTGCCAAGTGATCTCTGTGTTCATATCTCTCAGCCTTCTTTACCCATCAGAAGTATTTGTACACGTTTTTTTGATTGTTTTAATTAATTTACATGTTGTTGCATTTACAGTACATGTAGAAGTCAAAGGACAACTTTGGCATTGGTTCTGGCCTACCTTTACATTGTTCCAGGGATTGAACCATGTTGTAAGATCTGTTGATGTGTAGATCTGTTATTTTGGTGTGAAATGACTATCCCTGTGTTTCATTTGCACTATTGTTGGTGTTTTTCGATGTGTTTTGTGGTTACCAGCTGGTTATCTTGAAGTACATTTTCTGTAAGAAAGGTAAATGCTTAATTTTTCTCTCTAGTAAATGTAATGATTCTGAAACTAGTTCACCAAGTTGTTTATTTTGATTTTTAAATTACATGTATTTATTTTGTATGTATGGTCATAGTACACACATCCTAATGTCTGTGAGAGTCAGAGGACAACTTGATCTCTCAAATCTATTTTCTCTCCTACACATGGATACTGGGATTGATCTTGGGTTGTCATGTTTGGTGTAGGTGCGTTTACTTGCTTAGCTACCTCACTTGTCCCAGAGTTTTTGTTTGTTTGCTTACTTGCTTGCTTGTTTTCTAAGGTATTGTTAGAAACAGATGAGTTTTTATGGATTTGAGGCTATTCAGTTTTTGTAATTTTTTTTTTAATGATTAAACTGTGCCAATGAAAGCCATTATAATAATGTTGGCTTTGCCATTTTGGCATGGCTGTACTAGTTTTTCTTGCCCCATGGTGCACTAGGATGTTCTAAGCATATATGATTGGTACATTTTCTGCTCTGCTTTAGACAGATTCAACCCCTTTTAATAGCCCTTTTAGAAACCACCATGTCAATGTTCAGTGAGTTTACCCAGATAATTTTCTAGTTAGAAAATTCTGTCTGTGAAAGACTGCCTTTCCTGTGGAGACGAACTGAAAACGTGATTCACATCAACAGACAAATCCCCAGTCCTGATGAACACCACCCCACTTCTATGGAATAGCTCACAAACTAAGAGAACACTATATGTAATTGCAACTTTCACTGTAGCAAAAGATGCAAGTTAAAATAAATAAGGCTGTTGCTTACAGAGCAATGGCCCAGAAACTTCAGAAGTCTGCCTGCTCACTTTTCTGCATTACTCAGAAAACTTTCCCCTCTCTTCTTTCTGTATGTTTAAGCATGCATTTCCTATCATTTTGACACTATTTATTCTAAAACTTGCTACCCTGTTCTATGATTGCTGAGCTGCCACGTGACTGTCCATCACACTAACTTAGTTTAAATGGCATGACCTTTTTCTTTCCTTTGTCTTCCCCCTCCAGACAGCTCCTGAGATTTACTTGCTGCCCTGCAATTTTTTTTTTCCTCCTTTTCAAAACAGGGAAGATCAGCAGATAGTAGAATCTGGAAAGGACTGGAACTGAGTCTCTCTGGTGTCACAAAGTCTCATTTCCATTAGAAACATTGCTTACTTTGAAGCCCATTTGGTGCGAAATCCCATGAACTTGGAGATGATTTTGATAGATGTTGAGGACAGATCAGATCCCTTTTCAGATGAGATTGGTTCTTCACAGCAGTGGGTGCTGTGAATGCTAAAGCTGTTTTTGGTTTTTCGAGACAGGGTTTCTCTGTGGCTTTGGAGCCTGTCCTGGCACTAGCTCTGTAGACCAGGCTGGTCTCGAACCTGCCTCTGCCTCTCGAGTGCTGGGATTAAAGGCGTGCGCCACCATCGCCCAGCGCTAAAGCTGTTTTTGCTGCCTTGTTTTCATTGATGTTGCGAGAAATACATACCCTGGAAAGGATTATTCCCTATTGGTACTATCATCTTCAAAATAATCTTCCCCCATCTCTCTGTGGTTGAAGCAGGACCTTGAGCAAGTACCCTACTACTGAACTATATTTCTAGCCCAGCCCTTTAACTTCTTTATGTATTCCATGGTTCTACCTTCCCCTCTGAAAATGTTGAGTTTGTTTTGGGTTTTTGTTTTTGTTGGGTTTTTTATTTGTTAATTTTAATAGCTTTAGAATTGAACATGGGATCTTACAGTGCAGGCATTACAAGTGTGTGCCAGTTTTTCCTGTTCTGGCTGCTATTTTTTAATTGAAATTATATAGCAAACTGAACTTGAACTTGGCCCCTGGGATTTTTATTTTCTGCATTTCTAACTCTAAGTACGCTATGTAACTTCTGAATCTTCATTTACAAATAGAAACAAGAATAATTCTGTTTTACGTGTTGTGATAAATGAGGCAGTGTATGTAAAGCTATTTAGCATAATGATTTTAACTAACAGTCTCTTGGTGAGAGCAATGATTGCTAACTTTATGTATCACATTCTTGGATGTGTAGATAATTAAAAGCGTTTGTGGCCAAAATCCATATTTTAGACTACAGATATGGGTGGAGCCCTATTATGTGACTTGGTTTCTCCTTGTTCTTGGGTGGAACGTTGTTACCTGCAGTTTATGGGCATATAAAGAATGAGGGTACAGATTCAAAAGGGAATTTCTCAGTAAAGCTGCCAGTCTTGCAATTCACAGCAGTCATCCCACATCAGCCTACTCAAAGTGCCAATCTTGTATCTGTAAAACAGTGGATGAAACCATAGGCTTCCATATCTAAGTAGATTAGGGGTTGCTTCTCAACATATCGTTAGAGGCTGTTAGACTTGAGCACCTGTATGTATAAAATATGAGGTTTTGTGTGTGTGTGTGTGTGTGTGTGTGTGTGTGTGTGTGTGTAGCTTTGCCTAACCTTTCAGTAAGATGACCCTATATAATGGAGTGTGCACACGTGTGTGTATGTGTGTGTGTGGTTTTTTTTTTTCTGGTGATTGAAGTTTATAGTAGTTTAGAGATTGTGCTTATTTATCTTGGTCATTGCAATGTTATACTCTGACTTTTGTTGTGCTTGATGTGTTTAGTAGGGAATCTGTTAATGAGTAACAACCTTATTGGCAGCCAAATATGGCATGTAAATATAAAGTAGTGAATTGTTACTGGCAAAGATATTGTAACCTTATAAATAAGATATATGGCCTGAGGAGTGTGAGTGGGTAAAAGCAAGTTTCTAGCATACTTTGATAACTATGAACTTGAATTTTTTGGTTAGAATTGAGACGTGTGCCTACAATTCCAGTACTTGGAGCTTGAGCCACACTTAGGGCCAGTTTGGACTACATAGTAAGGCCATTTCTCAACATCAAAGAAACCAACAAAAATTACATGTTTTGGTATAGCAGTTTGATTTCTGAAACAAAATATTTCTGTTAAAAATAATCCTAAATAGAAGTGAGTATTTATTGTGAGATTAAACCCTAAGGGGTAATAAGTAAATATAGTGTAATTTTGAGGGGAATGCTTTGTTAGGCATTATAGTATTGCTGACTATGAAGCATTTATGATAATAAAAAATGATTAAGTGAAGGGAAATGATTCTGAGACCCATGATGCATGATGCACTTCTCAATTCTGTGATAGCCTACATGAAACTTTGTTCATTGTTACAGACCCAAGTATGTGACTTGCAGACAGTGATTTGCCATTCCTACTTTTTTTTTATCATTCCTCAAGACATGTTACTATAAGTACATTTTAGTCAATGTTAATGTGTTAACTTTTCTGTGCCTGTGATAAAATAATATACCTCCCAACAACTTATACATGAAAGTGTTTATTTTGGATTAGTCTATCATGATGACGAGGCATGGAGGAACAAGAAGCTGAGATCATATTTTCAAGAGCAACCTGGAATTTGCTTTTGAGAGAGATTCTCAAAGTCCTCCTCCAGTAATGGACTTCCTCTAGCAAGGCTTCACTTCCTAAAAGTTCTATAACCTCCCCAAACAGTACCACCAGTCAGGGACCAAATGTTCAAATATGAATCCTGTG